ACTAGTGGGAAGAGTACGGTCAAAATAAAGTTCCGATCCGCAGGACAGGCCTAAACTGTTCGTTCAGAAGATTCTTCAGTGCTGAACTTAGACACTACAGAGCTGAATGTAGCGCTCTGCTTATGAGCTTATGTTTTATGGAGCAAGCAGCATGCTCCTTGGAAACTGTATTTTCTCAAATGTCTCAAAGGTCCCACAGGTCCTGCAGAGGAAAGGGTTCATCGTCTGCTATGGGAGATTCCAGCTCCTACTTCTGTCCCATTCCCAAGCGTTCAGGGCTAAGCCAGCAAAGGTTAAGCTCTCCTTTACGGACAGCCCATATGAGTAACATAAACCCTTCCTTTGATCTTAGACTAAATATTAAATCTAGACATGGCTGCTAACCTAGTGAGTCTAGAGTAACCATCACATCAAATCTCTTCCAGTTCAGGGCCAGTAGGCAGGAGAAAAGGAAGTATATCAGTTTTTAATGTTTTTGCCTTGTGCAAATTGTATTTTCATATACATAAGGTTCATTCAAACAGAATGTGTTTACTTGCTACGGTAACCAAGCAAATGGAGTAGATTTTGGGGAAAAATGCTAGGTTTATTACAGTGCTTACTTTGGGGATGAACAGAGATGCACATCTGTGCAATATGTACACAGAAATATTTGCTGTCCTACCCCAATCAAGGCTCTGCACACAAGGTTACCTACTATCATCACTACACATTAAAACTGTCAACCTATTATAGAGAAACATTAAAAATCTCCATTTCGTTCAAAATTTAATGGATAAACCAAGGCCACTATTTGCTAGCAGCTGGCATACATTTCAATATTGTGCAAACATTAATCCATCTCATTCCCTAATTCGGCCAGTGACCTTAATACCAGTTCAGTTCTTAATCATCTGGCAGTGCAGCTGGCATTCATTTGGCCTGACAGAGGACCTCCCCAATAAATAAAAGAAATAAACCCTCTTATCCCACTCTTGACAATGCTTAAGATGATTACAATCCCTTTAGCTGCTAGATTTTCTTTTCATAATAATGTCTGGACTATATTCGCTCACAGTAAGCAGAACAGCTAGATAAATCCTAGGGGAGTCCATTAAAAGAGAGGACCATCCAAACAATCTCGAAAATTAACGTGCTTGTATCAGCACACCACCAAAACCATGAACTCCAATGGGGGAAGAGCACGATATTCCAATCAAGGGCCCAAAAGCCTGCACACCCCTAAGAACACCCCTAAGTCGGAAGAGTGAAACTACCACCAGTGCAGGACAGCAGCAACTGCATCGGGTGAGCAAGGAAGAGATGACACAGAGCTGCATTAAAAAGGGGCAAATTCCAGGCAATCTTTTCAAGTAAAGCTGTACACAAAAAGACTGAGATCTTCCAACATATTTTTTTCTCCAGTTTTCTTCCATCTAATTTCTACGACTAGAAACTCCCAAGAACTGGAGCTTAAAGCCAACCCCCCTCAGGTCAGTACTGGTGGATGGGGAATCAGCAGCACCGTTTCATATAACTTAATCCTCGCTGCTTCTTGCTGCTCTACCATTTTGAGTCAGGACTCTGCTTAACACATCTAAAGGGAGAGACTGAAATGAAGCTATCCGCAAGCAAAAGAAACAGATTAAAACGACAGGAAAAGCAACAGCTACTTTAATACCCCACTGGCCCAGAATGATCTTCCTCCTTCTGGAGAGCAGTAATTTTAGATAATGGAAAAGAACAAGGAAATAAGACTTCAAGGGGAAAAGAAGTTAAGATAAAGAACGTTTCCCTCGATGAGTTCTCCTAAATAGTTTCAAGACAGAAATAGCCTTCCTTGCTTCCTCAGCTTGAGGAGGTTCATTTAAGTTGGGAGGAAAGAGAAGAACACTGCAGAATTTTCCTTATTTCAAATAAAAAAATCTGCAAGCTGAATATCATGACACAAGGCTACTAAAATTAACATCAAGCAAACCAGATAAATCGTTGCTTGATATCTAAACGGAAAAACACCCAATTTTTGAAAGATTAGCACTAGTATAAAACTAGTTGACTATATAACAGTTATTTCAAAGCAGATGTAAGCAGAGGTCCAACTGAGTAAGCCCCTACATCTCTATTATCACCTCTTCACTGCAACTTCTAACACAAGGTTTCTAAAGACAGATTTAGACAAAAAGCTGCATTAACTGTTTCTCTGTCGTGGTTCAAAGATCTTTATGTGGGCTACGGAAACCAGGCTAGCCAAAATCTAGCAAAAAACAATAAAAAAAGGCTTACTGACACCATGGTCTCAAAGTCCTTCCATTAACATGTTGCAGTGCTTGCAAAAACGGAGTCTGGACGATACCCACTGGTTCACTTTCTCCTTCATCCCCCCAGTTCACCTGGCAGATCACCGTTTTCTCCCCATCTGTACTTTCAGCTTTTTAACGTTCAGTTTTAGGAAAAAATCAGGTTTTCCACTTAGAGGGCCTGGACTGTAGTTGATGTTAGCTGGGTCTTGGGAAGCAGACAGAAAAAAAACATCCTGTCACCTAACTCAACAATTCCTAAAGCAGGGAAAGTATACAGGGCTCAAAGGCAACTCACCATCAGTGCAAAGGAAAATCCCTCCTCAGCAAAACAAAAACAAATTTTTACCCACTTCATAGTCTAGGTAAAGCTTCACAATTAAAAATAGGTACATTCAGGTACACAGGTACACAATAGGTATACAGAGTATTTATTATTCTTTTGCTTTAAAACTTTTGCCTGTGCTATTGTGTTTTACCTGACTATGATAATGATGAACAGATTTTCAAAACCTATCATTCAAGCTAATTATTTAATATGGACTAAGCAATTATTTCAAGTTGATAATGGCTGCCAATACAAGTTTAAACAGTTGGCTTTCTATACAGACCTTGGCCAGTCCTCCTATAGAAGGCAGAAAATCCAGTAAATCAAGCATGGTACAAAGCATATAGAATATTCACGTTACATGGGAGGAAATTTTTTTTTTTAAATAACCAGTTACACAGGGAAAAAAATAAAATAAAAAACATCAAAATAAAGATCCCTCCTCTGCATCTCCATCAATCACCCATTACCCTACAGTGCAGTCCCAAGACTGCCAATAGCAGCACCCGTTTCACACCCACTAAAAAGGGAACAATTGCCTTCACAGAAGTCTTGAAGGAAAGCAACTCATTTTAATCTTAACATACTAGATTACTGCGCTCACTAAATGTAACGTCTTATGCATCCTCTTTCTTCTTAGGAAATAACAGGACAACTTATGAACAAATTAACTTAAAACTTAGGCTTTCCAGAAAGACACTGAGCATCAGCCTGAACAGCGCCTAAAGGCTCTGCACAGAGTTTTCACCTTGGACAAAATAACTTCTCCTGACAGCAAAAGCCTCAACAGCACTTTTCCGGGGTGGAGGGGGGGAAAGGGAGACAGTAACATAGGACGCTGACATTAGGCCTCGTAAGCTGTAACTAAAGCCTGCAGCCCAATTTCCAACATGTGCATCTTCATGTCCAGAACAGTTTTCTAAGCCCAGGAAAACAGGACCCACGGTTCACAGACTGATTTAATACTGGCATATAGAGAAACCTGTGGCACATCTTAACACTGCACATCTTGGTTACTGATTAACTGAAGTCTTAAACCTATCCCAAGGTGAAAAGACTCTTCTCCACCATGCCCTAGTGAAGTGGAGTAAGAGCATAAGCACGCTGGCAAAGGCCGGCCATAAACAGCAGTATGAAGCAACTCAGCTGTGGTTACCTCAAACCTTAACCAAGGTCAGACCACAGCTTCCAGCAAGATTACTGCAAACCCACAGAAATGCCTCAATCGCAATCAAGTATCATTCCCTTTGGTTACTTGGTTCAAATTTGTTCTCATTTTGCTCCTTATGCCTCAAACACTGCATGGCCTCCCTTTCTGGCAGCACCTCTGGATTGCTGCATGTGCCATAGGCTGCCCGTGCAATGACTAGCTCGTGCTGAACTCCCCTATGATAAAAGCTGCCCTGATTTCTGCAAAATCCTGTGTTGTTTCTTTCTTTCTAACCAAGATTATTGTTTTTTTATTGGAGATGCAGCAGCTTACAGATCTTTTGATATGCATTTGCTGCTTCCATGCCAGTACAATCACTAGCTAGATATTTCACCTCAGATACCTAAGCAGCACTAAAAAGGCATTGCTAGAAAGAAAGCACCCTATAGAGTGAAGTTCCATAACCAGCATTTCCAGTTTAACACGTCTCAGTCAAGCATCCCATGATCCTCACAGATCTTTAGTTTCTCCAAGCCAAAAGATCCACAAATCCCAGAATTCCCCACCCAATTTCCCTCTAGCATTGACAATACTTGGCTAATCCAAGACCTGGTTTATACATAACCATGTAAAATAATTCTGACCATCCCTTGAGTTTGTGCTGTTCTGTTTTCAAAGAATAAAGTACTTCTGTAACCAAGATGACAAAAGAAGTATATGAGTTTTAATGCCTTTATAGCTATATTCACCCAGCACAATCCTAGCAGAGAGATTTCTGGCCACTGCAACCCCTCTTGAAAAAGCCTTTTCAGAAGGAGACAACCCAAGTGCTGCAAAGTGCTCGGCCACCCACTGACCTATATGTATATACACATATATACACACACAGAGAGCAGCACAGCAGCAGGGCTTCCACCGCGTAACTGAGCAAGCTACGCTCAGGCACCATAGCGGCCACAACGAAGCTCCCCGGGTGCTTTTGATCCCCAAGGCACGTGGCCCAAGCAGCCTCCACCATAACCACCAGGCTACGCACCCGAGAAGAAAGCACCACCAAGTATTTCTATACACAAATAGCCCCTGCTGTATAAAACAAGTCAGGCAGATGATGTGCGCAGTGCAGCATCGCTCTCTCCTCCATCAGAAAGGGGCTTTAGCCCCCTGGTCCCTCAGCCATGAATCAAAGCCTCACAGGTTGCTCCCTGCTCCGTCAACCCCCCAAGATTACAAGAAACAAGAAGGGCACCTTTGTGAGGGGATCCGTTGATGCTCTCGGAGCTGGACTGCACATCCACCGTGGCTCTCCTGAGGCTGCTAAAATAAGCCCTGGACCTGGAGAAGCTGCTCCGCGGCGAGCGACCGTGGGGGCTGCCAAAGGGGGTGGAGGTGCCGTCCTTGCGGGCGAAGATGCCGCTGAAGAAGCGCAGCAGACGGTGCTCATGGGCGGCGCCGCTGACGGGGCCCCAGCC